GCCCCCGGCAAGTACGCGTCGAGCAGCTTCCACAAGTGCTTTCGCACGGACGCGCAGATTTTCCAGTTTCTGGATACGCTGGCGAGCCAAAACAGCCAGATTGTGACCAAATTCCAAATCTCCACGTCCTTCAAGGGTACGCCACTCTCAACCTCTACTTGCAACTCAGCTATATTATGTATGTAGGCGAAAGATCTGGGCGTACAAGATCTCGACGGGCTCGCGCGCCAAGGCGCTGTACACGCAGAGTCTGCTGCACGCGCGCGAGTGGGTCGCGGGCTCATCGACGGTGTTTACGATCGCATCCATTTTGGACGACGTCGCCAACAAGAAGCCGTCGCCGGCCGACAATTACGACCTTGTGTTTGTGCCCATCGTCAACATTGACGGGTACCGCATCACGTGGAGCTCCAAGCGGCTTCAGCGCAAGAACGCCAACGAGGTCGACCTCAACCGCAACTGGTACACGCCGATCCGCAACCCGAGCCCGCCGCGGCCGTCGGACGAGACGTACCCGGGCCCAGCGTACTTTAGCGAGAAGGAGACGCAAGGCATCCGCGACTACATCACCGCGCGCAACGCGACGTTGGCGGGGTACCTCGACGTGCACGCGTTCGCAGGCGAAGTGCAGTTGCCGTACGGCGACACGAAAGCGGCTCTCGGCAACGGCCTCGACGCCAAGTACCAAACGCTCGGCGACGCGCTCTCGACAGCGATGGGCTCTTCGTACCGAACGACGTTCGAGTGGGAAATGTACCTCTCGTACGGCTGCTTTGAGGACTGGGGCCAGCGCTACCTCAACAAGCCGACGCTCACAATCGAGATGGCCGGCAATGACTTTGTCGCGCCGGCGTCGTCCATCGTGAGCTCCGGAAAGGAGCTCTACCGTGGCTACTATGCGTTCGCCAAGGGTGTCTCCAAGTTTTAGTTGTTGCGTGTATTTGATGCGTCCAGTGCTGTGGTGATTTACCTTTTAACTAAGCTTCTCTTCCAACAACGTTGTTTTGTATTTGATACTATAGTAATGCATGGAAAGGGTCTGTGACACACGAGTCGATCGAGTGCTTGGTTGAACGATTGACACAACATGTCTGCACGTGCTACCTTGATCAAGTAGTGTGCTGCACGATCCAACGTGGGTCTTGCACTGAGTTGACGTTGAAGGTATCCTGAGGATGCCACGAGTTCACACCCATTTCTGACACAAACAGGTTTTGCACCACTCAAAATCATGGATGGAACTAGAGTCCCATCTGCTTTGGCACCGATTTTGAGTGCGTCTGTCTACCCCTTGGACAAAAATACGAACGACGAGCGAGCACAAGGACAGCTGGATGGGGTGCATACCGGTACGAACGATATCGATCAACTCAGACACGGCTGGTATCAGACGCCAAACTCAGAGCGGATCGTATCAGATGCAGCAACTCTCACAATCCGAGTCCATACCAGACATGCGTACGTTGCATCGTCTTCACTTCACGTCGGGATACCTCCGCAAACCTCGCACATGCAGACAAAAAGGTGGGGCATGGAAGGCATATATGGCTCTGATAGGACCCATGGTGGCAGCAGCCAACTTTGTGACCAACGACTCCACTGACTAATTCACTAACGGGTGCGAAGAAAGGCGAGCTTACTCCGACGCTCCGTGCCCCTTGTTCGTTGTTGTTGAATTGGGTCAATTTAATTTAATGAGCAGAGCTCAAATGTACCCCTTGTTCGTATTGACGAGGCTCCGTACCGTGTGGTGGTCCAGATTCCGATCGCAGATGCATCTGAGACCGGGTTCCAGGCCCAGACCTGATAACAAGGTACTTTGATGGCGCCTGCACCGACAGTCCAACGAGGTCTATGGAAGGTCGCGATGTGAAATCTTGCTCCGTCACGCCGCCATCATGGCTCCAAACCAGGTGTAAACCTAGCCCTACTAGGCCCCACCCGCTCTCGACCCACAAGTCTGAGTTCGACCGCTTCGACTCCATGTCTGAGATCAACCACCACGACCCATAAGTCTGAGTTCGACCGCCCCGACACCGACGAACACCCTCTCTTTACCATTCCATTTCCCGTTTCTCCACCGACCACCGACCATGAAGCTCCACACCACGCTCCTCGCGCTCTGCGCCGCGGCTGCCGTCGCCGACATCGTCCCCGAAGGCGGCAGTCCCGAGATTGTCGGCGGCACCGAAGTCCCCGTCGGCCAGTTCAAGTACATCACCGGTCTCCGCGGCGGGTCGGCCACGTCCACGAGCCGCTGCGGCGGCACGCTGATCGCGCCCAAGTACGTGTTGACGGCGGCGCATTGCGTTGACGGGTTCAAGATCGACTACGCGGCTGTGGGCACCCACTACACGTCGGGTGGCGCCGACGGCGAGCGCATCCGCGTCGTCAAGGCCATCGCGCACCCGCAGTGGACGAGCGACGAGATGCACTACGACTTTGGCATCCTCGAGCTCGAGCGCGCGAGCAAGGAGACGCCCGTGACGCTCAGCTTTGACGACGACGCGTCCAACGCGCCGGGCGTCGTCGCCAAGGTCCGCGGCTGGGGGACCACCCGCTCCGGCGGCTCGCAGTCCAAGGTGCTGCTCGAGGTCGGCGTCAAGGTGTGGGCCAACGACCAGTGCGCCAAGAACCTCAACGGCATCCAC